ACAGGATGAACTGCAGACAAGACTCCTGTCTCGTGAAGTAAGGTCCGCCGGACTACACACAAATGAAGAAATGAAGAGAAGAAATGTAACTCAGTGGACAGAGTGCTTGCCTAGCGTTCATGAAGCCCTGAGTGCTAGCCCTAGCACTGGTAAACTGGGGGAGCTGGTGCAGGCCTCTAATCCCAGTACCTGGGAGGTGGAGTTTAAGGTCATCCCTGACTATACCTAGCTTACATGAGACCTTGTCTGGGGTGAAAGAAAAGAAAGAAAAGAAAAGAAAAACCTACTACTTTATTTATTTATTTATTTGAGGCAGGGTATATGTAGCTTCAGCTGTCTTGGAATAAAACTCACAGAGATCCACCTGCCTCTGCCTCCCAAGTGCTGGTATTAAAAGCATGTTCCACCACTACCCAGCTTGATAATTTTTTTTTTTTTTTTTTTACGAGACAGGGTCTCTCTGTAGCCTTTGGAACCTGTCCTGGAACTTGCTCTATAGACCAGGTTGTTCTCAAACTCACAGAGATGCACCTGTCTCTGCCTTCCCAGTGCTGGGATTAAAGACATATGCCACCACCACTTGGAATTATTTTTTTTTGAGACAGACAGACAGAGAGAGAGAGAGAGAGAATCACTGTTAATGATGGCAGATAGAGACCTTGTGACCCCCTTCGACTGATAAGGGAAGAGAGGCTTCCTTGGGAACAGGCCTTGAACCAGCAAGGTGAATTACAAGGCCCCAAGCAGTAGAGAGACAGATGTTTCAAAAGGTCGGAGGCAGAAATAAGCACAGTGTGTACTCAAGGCAGGAAAACCAGAAGCACAAGATGACCTTCAAGAGGTCCTCAGGGCCACATCAGAGGTCTTTCAGCCCAGGTGGAAAGTTGGGGGCTTCTCTTATCCCCCAGATTGCATCTATGATTTGTATCTATTACTTGTTTGTATGTTTATTTATTTATTGGTGTTTTGAGAGAGACAAATTTTCTCTGTGTTACAGCCCTGGCTGTCCTGGAACTCACTTTGTAGACCAGGCTGGCCTCAAAGTCAGAGCTTCACCTGCCTTTGCCTCCTGAGTGCTGGATTAACGGTGTGGACCACAACTGACCTGCTACAGGTTGCCTCTTTTATAACTGAACTTTTCTTTCATGTAGTCAACTGACAAACCTTTCCAGAACCCTCCTTTATGATAGGCTCTGAGCTTGCTGAGGAGAAGCTCCAGGCCCTGTGCTTAGGGTATGATGGGGTAGTCTGGTGGGAGGAGATGGGAACTAAGCCTGTCATCCTACCTTCAACGCTCTGAGCAGATCCATGCCAGAGGAAAGTTGAGGGAGCAATGAAAGCCTAGGAGGCTCCCACCTGGCTCTGATAGGCTTTTCAAGGGGTGGAAGGGTGGATAAAAGCAAGCAGGGGAGGAAATAGGGCCAGCCAGCGCATGTGCCAAGTGCCACAGTGGAACCTGGTGAGATCCCTTGGGCTTAGTATTGAGAGGACCCCGGGGGTGGGGTGGGGTGGGGAGAAGTTGGTGGTGAAGGCATTGGAAGAACAAAACCCAAGGTTAGGCCAGTGTGGTGGCACATGCCTTTAATCCCATCATTTGGAAGGCAGAAGCAGGAGGATCTCTGTGAGTCAGAGGCCAGCCTGTTCTACAAAGTGAGTTCCAGGACAGCCAGGGGTACCAAACAAACAAAAAAAAAAGACTCAAGGTTAGAGGAGATGAAGCCATGAGCACACGAGCATAGCACGTGTAGAAGGCTCCACGAAGCCACCAGGGTCAGTCAGAGTACAGAAATGGAGAGTCTCAAACTGTGATGGAATGGCACCTGCCACCAGCCTGACAGTTCTGAGCCCTGGGACCTGCACGGTGGAACCCAGCAAGTTGTCCTTGATTCCACAAGTGTGTTGTCGTTCATGATGCCCCCTGCCATACCCCACACAATATATAAATCAATAGATGTAACTTTAAAAAATCAAGAAAAGAGGAAAGTCAGGAACGGAGGCACACATGCATGCCTCCTGCAGCTCTGAAGAGGCAGAAGGAGGAATGTGAAAAGTTCAAGGCTAGCCTGGGCTACAGAGCCGGTTCCAGGCCTGCCAGGACCTTTCACAAGGAAACAAACAAACAAATAAAGCACAGAGGGGACCTTTGTGATCATCATGTGCTTACCAGATGATCTATTTCTTTTTTAAAAAAAAATTTATTTATTATGTATACAATATTCTGTCTGTGTGTATGCCTGCATGCTAGAAGAGGGCACCAGACCCCATTACAGATGGTTGTGAGCCACCACGTGGTTGCTGGGAATTGAACTCAGGACCTTTGGAAGAGCAGGCAATGCTCTTAACCTCTGAGCCATCTCTCCAGCCCCAAGATGATCTATTTCATGTCTGTGTATTTCCCATAAGAAGTAGTATGCCGGGGATGGAGAGGGAGGGGGAGAGGGAGTGGGGGGATGGGAGGGTGGTGGGAGGAGGGGCTGAAATGGAAACTTTTATAATTTAATAAAAAAAAAAAAAGAAGTAGTATGCCGGGAGTAGTAGTACACACCCTTCATTCTAGCATTCAGGAGGCAGCAGCAGGTGGCTCTCTGTGAGTTCGAGGCCAGCCTGGTCTAGGGAATGAGTTCCAGGACAGGCAGAGCTACATAGTGAGATCTTGTCTTCAAAAGATAAATAAATAAAATAAAAAGAACTCCAAAGTGGAAACATCTTATTGTTCTTGTGTGGTTGAACAGGTTGTGTAGGTACATCCATTCTAGGAACTATTATTCTATGGTTAAAAAGTATCGTACCACAGATGACATGGGACAGATATGGATGAATCTCAAAACAAAAACAAGAATGTCAGCCAGACTGAAGAGGGAAAAATGCATACTGTTTGGTTTCATCTAGGGAAAAAAATTATAAAAAATGTCAACTAATCTAAAAGCAGCAGATTAGTGGGCACCTGGGGATGGGGCAGGGACAACCATGAAAGGGAGATTAGAAGGGATAAGGAAACCTGGATGGTTAACACACAGATCTGTTACTTTGGTTGTGAGAGGTGATGGATTCATGGGTGTATATCCAAATGTGTCCAATTAAAGTCAGAAATGGTGAGCCGGGTGGTGGTGGTGCATGCCTTTAAACCCAGCACCCAGGAGGCAGAGGCAGGTGGATCTCTTTGAGTTGGAGGCCAGCCTGTTCTACAAGAGCTAGTTCCAGGACAGACTCCAAAGCCACAGAGAAACCCTGTCTCGAAAAACAAAAACAAAAACAAAATAAAATAAAGTCAGACATGGTGGTACACTCCGGCAATCCCAGCACGCAGGACAGCAAGAGGGCAGCAGGTCAAGGCCCCCTAGGCTACATACTGAGTTTGAGGCCAGTCTGGATTACGTGAGATGGATAGTGTCTCAAAAAGCAAGCAAACAAACAAACAATAATGAAGTTATAGACTTAAGTATGGGTAACAGTTGTCCTGAGGGCCATGCTCCTCAGCTGCCATCCTGCTCGACACTGTGGGATCCGTTTATGCTGTGTGGCTTTCATAAAGATGGTCTCTCTGCATTCAACTTTCTTATCTTTCAGTAGAGGGACAAGATCACGCCCATCTCACAGGGCACAGGGCGACACACACACAGTTGGGTCTCTGTCTAAGAGGGCCTCACTTTGAATCAACTGGCTGGCATATTGAAACAAGCAAAACAAAAAAATCATAAGGCAGAAAAACAGACATCTCAGCAGCCAGCTGGTTTGTCCTGAGAGGCACCCTGGGAGCCTGTCCCATGGGACTGGTCAGGGGTTGGCCTCCAGGGCACGAGCAGGGCACCCTTCTTAGGAAAGACTGGAAGCGGGGTAGGCAGAAGGCTAGTTGAACTTCAGTCTCTGCGAGGGCAGCACAGGCCGCCTGTTCATGTCAGGGCTGGGGACAAGGCCAGGTTGGCCCAAGGCCCAGAGAGGCGGGCCAGTTCAGCACCATGGGGCTCAGAGGTAGGGAGCCTGCTGGGACCTTTCTCTGGACACAATGTCCTAGACCGCTTCACAGTTTGGCTGACTGACAGGGAACAGTGGCTGGCAGAGGGTATGGGCAGTTGGCCGACTGGGTGGGGGGCAGCCAGCCTGAGCAAAGGGCTTGTTCTTACAACCTGGCCTGCCACCTTGGCCAAGAAGAGGACCAGCTCTTTGGAGGAAGGAGCCGGACACCCTGTGGGGACCTCAGCAATTCCTCTTTACCTCATGTCTCTGTTTCCCCATATTACTGACTGTTATCATTTGAGCACAATTCTTTCTGAGCAGAACTCCCGAAATGCTGGCCTGGACCCCTTACCTTACTTCCTTACTAGCTGTGTGACTCAATTAAATGACAGCCCCTCTAAAACTCTGCTCTTTCATTTTGGGTTTCGAGAAAGGGTATCGCTACGCAACGTCACAGTGATTTGCCTGCCTCTGCCCGATGAGTGCTGAGATTAAAGGTGTGCACTGCCATATCTGACTTGGAAATACAACTCTTGAGCTGAAAAATAGCATCTGCTACTTCAGGTGTGAGTACATGGCAGGCCTTGAGATGGCGACTCTCACAAAGGAAGTACTTAATGGAATAAGCTTCACTCTTGTGACCGCAACAATGGACAACAATGACATTTGTTTATTAAAGGCTCCTGTGTGCCAGGAACTTTATGTTCATTGTTGAAAACACCACAGTCGGCTCTACACTGTCGTTTTATACACGAGGGACGCACAGCAGACGGCAGGGGGAGGAGCGGCTCTGGCTCTCTAGTAGCCTCCCCTGTGGGCCAAAGCGTCAAGGCCAGCTGAGTGGACCCTAGAGGGGTCTCAAAGGTGGGGACTGCATCAGAGAAGGACTAAGGGGCTCCTCGGGACACAACAGATGACCCCAGATGCCTGTCCTCATTATGGACATTGTTGGACAGAGTCCCAGGCACATGAGCCAAGGAACTCAGGAAAGCTGGGCTGTCAGGGGGCAGGGGGTTACAGGCATTCCTTCCCTCGTTCGGCAAATGTTCACCAAGGGAAGCTGAGTTTGGTGCTGCCCCCTGTGGTGCTGGAGCCCGCGGTGTCCTGAACACGGAGGGGTCACTTACAAAGTTAGAGCTTCACAAGGAGATGACTGACAGTTTCCTCAGTCTTTTGGTTTGTTTGTTTGTTTGTTAAGATGTTTTTTAATTTATGTGTTAAAGTGTGTGTGGACATGTGGATATATGCATGTGTGTGCAGAGGCCCGAAAAGGGTGTCAGGTCCTCTGGAGCTGAAGTTATATGCAGTTGTGAGCTGTCTGGTATGGGTTCTGGGAATGGAACTTGGGTCATCTGTAAGGGGACCAAGCACTTTGAACGGCTGAGTGACTTCTCTGCTCCCTTGAAAAACTTCTCTATTTTCTTCTCCAGTGCTGGGCTACAGCCCAGAGGCGATGATAAGAAAAGGCAAGCCAGGATGTCACGCGGTGTTGCTTCAGCCCTTGGTTTCCTCAACTATAACAAGACGCTGATGTCCTCCCTCCCCTTTGTCATTTGAAGGTAAGGTGAGCATAAAACCCTGGCTCACATTCCAGGCCACTAAGTAGAGCAGGGACAAAGGTTCTCGTCCTGTCTGTCGTGAGCCAGGCTTAGGAGAGAGAAGTAGAAGTGATTGTCTCCGCTTTGTAAATGAGACAAAGCTGCCAGCATCGGAGAAGGCCCAGATGGCTCCCCATCCTAGAAAAAATGACTCTTATTAGGTGCTCCAAGCAAGTGGGGAGTCATCTGGGACTGGTTCAATTCTGAGGTCACTCTGGGTTGTATGGTGAGTCCCATAGCCCTCCTAGCGATTGGGAGGCTGAGGCAGGAAGATCTTTGCCACTTCCAGATAGGCCTGGTCCTTGTAGTAAATACCAGGACAGCCAGAGCGCGCGCGTGCGCGCGCGCGCGCACACACACACACACACACACACTTCAAACAAACAACTTGCCACAGATAGTGAGTGGTTCACTAAGGTGGGAATGTGAAGAAGGGGCTGTAGTGACTATTATATGTTCCGTTCCTGGGGATCCTACTGGCACTGGACATCAGGACATGGGCTCCAGCTCCACCTGTGGCCTAGAGTAGAGCCAAGGTCCACAAGGAATTGACTATCCCAAGTACTCAGGGCAGAACCCTTGCCCTGTACTATGCCAGGTTCCCTGAGAGATCATCAGGGCCCACTAAGTAAGTTCCCCGGTCATTGGCTATGTTCACCAGGTGACAAGGCTCTTTTTTTTTTTTCTTTCTATGATAGAAGGAAAAGGCCATTTTGTAGGTAGGCGTACTGAGATTCAGAAGCACAGTCAGTCCAAGGTCATTGAAAAGAGTCAAGGCCCAGGCACTGCACCTTTCCCTGAATGGGTGGAACCTTCCTGAGGGGAGGGGGGACGGACACCGAGGTGGGGAGACGGACCGACCTCCCCCAGAAAGAGAAACCGTGGCCTCAGGTGGGGCTGGGCTGTTCACTCATCTCTGCGGACCTAGGCAGCCACGCCCTTAAGCACGGGGTGTGCCCAGCCTGGGCGAGCCCTCAGTTTCCCCGTGGGCAGTAAGGGTAAACAGGAGGCTGGACTCCACAAGGCTGCTCCCCTCCCCGCCTTCCTCTCCCCCCCCTACCCCCGCCCCGTTGAGTGCACAGGAGGAAGAAGGAAAGGAAGGTTATGTAAGGCGAGTCGAGGGCCGGGCAGGCGGGGACGTCCTCCTATGAATAGCCTGCTGTTCCCTGCGCGTGACTGCACGGCCCCCACGGCGCCCGCCGTGCTGGCCTCCGCGTCCGGGGCCTGGGGAGGGAGGAATGTGAGCCGGGATGCAGAGAGGGAGTAGAAGAGCTGGGAAGCAGGGAAGGAGGAGCGGAGCCCGGGAGTCAGGAGTACCAGTGCGAACGGAGGCCTCCGTTCCCCAGCGGCAGTTCGGTTCCTGCAGCCGGCTCGCGCTGACACCGCCTTCCGTCTTGGCGGCCTAGAACTGATTCTGGAGGTGCCGGGGCTGGTACAGCCCCCTCACTCCTGAGAAAAGAGGAAGGGGCACAAGGGCCACTGCATTACCTCTTCTGATAAGGGCATCATCGTCCCCTACTTCGCTGCTGCCCCAGGGAGGCGCCCCTAAAGCAGGGTCACAGTCACTGGGAGGCTGCTTACATTGCTGGATCCAGGTTTTCATATCAGGGCCCTCCTGCTCTTGCACATGGGTCACCTTAGCGATAATTGAACCTCTGCATCCCCAGGTTTGATTCGAATTTGCTTTATTTTCTAACACAGAGTCACTATGTATTCCCTGGCTGGCCTCTAAACCCAGAGGGGTCGGTGTGCCTCTACCTCTCCAGTGCCAGGCCCCTCCCCAGGGTTTCTAAGGTTTGGAAACCAAGTGGGGTAAGTAGGAGGGGCAGGCAGGGACTGAGGCCTGCATTGATATCATGAGCTGGGTGGAAAGTCAGGGCAGAGGGCATGTGACAGCCTCCCCGGAGGATAGATGGGGCCAAGCAGGAACAGCCAAACGTGACCTCAGGTGTCCTCACCCACTGCTCCCCATCCCCTTAATGCCTAATAAGAGATACAGCCAACCCCAACCTCTATCAACTCCAAAACGTGGACCTTGTCCCCACTTTACAAGGTTTGGAGAGGACGTAAGACGTGGACAAAATCCATTCTAGAAAGGGGCAGACTCAAGACCCTACTTAATTCCTTCATCCAGGCACTGGGATAGGAGAGGAAAATAAAAATGAAGGTCCAAACCAGGTGGTGGCGCACTTCTTTAATGCCAACGCTAGGGAGGCAAAAGCAGCCAGGGCTACACAGTGAAACCCTGTCTCGAAAAAACAAACAAACAAACAAACGAAAAACGATCCAACCATTAAAAATATATTGGTCTAGGCCTGGAGAGATGGCTCAGTGGTTAAGAGCACTAGCTGGTCTTCCAGAGGCCCTGCGTTCAATTCCCAGAAACCACATGGCAGCTCACAACCATCTGTAATGAGATCTGGTACCCTCTTCTGACCTGCAGGGGTAGGTGCAGGCAGAACACTGTGTACATAATAAATTAATCTTTAAAAAATATATATTGGCCCACAAAGAGGAAAACAGCAACCACGGTTATCATTATGAGATGGTCTGACGGTGCAGTAGACACGAGAAGCACGAGAAGGTTCCTAGGCAGAGACAGGTGGGGTCAATCCACACAGCCGGAACAGCTTGTTCAACTACTTAGAGGCCTGAGATAACAATCACTTTAGGGGTCCGTGAGCACCTGGATGAGGCTGAGGCTTACAGGTTGCAGATTCAAGAAGGCTTCCCCAAGGAGAATCTTGGCCTGGCAAAGGGTTGAACTTTACTCTGAGCACAGCAGGGGGAAGAGAGGAAGAGTAAGAGATGAACCCCAGCCTCCCTCTTTCCCTCCCTCCCCCAGCTCCATCTTAGTTCTGCAAATGGTTCCTTCAAGAGCTTCGGAACTAGATAGGAGGCCGGATCCCATCCCAGCTGGACATGCTGTGCTTGGAGCAGGCCACTTTGTCCACCTTGGGTCTCAGTGTCATCTAAGAAACTGACAGTGCTACTCCCTACCTAGTCCCTCCTGGTGCTAGGAGTGCCGAGCAGAGTCTGGAGCAGAAGCTCTCTCTGACAGCCCACCAAGCCAAAGGCTTCCATTTGCTCTCCCGTCCTGCCCCACCCTCCGCCAGCCCTCCACTGAGAGGGGAGGGGTCTGTCCAGCAGACTGCAGGATCACAAATGCTAAACTGGCACTGTTTGCTTGTGTCTAGAGCCCCCCAAATCTCTCAAAGTGGGGTCTCAGGAACAAGCCCGCTGATCCCCATTTTTTCAGATGCAGACTGGGATCTGTGAGGAAATGTGACTGATGATCCCTTTTGTCCCTAGCTTCCAGGCACAAAGGGGTAGATTAGGAGCCCCTCTTCCCCTCCCCCTGCCATGTCCCCTCTGCTATTCCCAGCCTCTGCCAGGGACATCCTGTGCCCCTGTGATGTCACTAAGCCCCGGGAGCCCAGGCTGTAGCCGACAGATGTATTTTTAAACTCTCCTGCCTTGGCCAGCTCCCCTCCTCACTCCGCCTATCCCACCTCACACTCTCTGCTCTCTTTCCCACATCTTAAATTAGTCCTCATGCCTGAGAGGCTTCCTTCAGGCTTCCCAGAGGCCATGGGGAACCCAGGCCAGTGCTATGCACTTATGGTCAGAACAAAATCCAGCCTGCCCAGGTAAACAGATAGGTCTCTTGAGAAGGCACTGCTTGCACCTCCAGGGGGACCCTAAAACCCAGAGGATACAGAGGGTCCAGGATCCCACACCAAGGCTAGCAGTCATCAGGTAGATTCCCTACACAACTGAGAGTCCTGGCTGAGTCTCAGAGCAACCACTAAGGCTAGGTTTGATTTTCTTTTTGTCTTTTAAGGACCTTGCTGTGTAGACCAGGCTGGCCTCGAACTCACAGAGATTCACCTGCCTCTGCCTCCCCATGGTTGGGATTAAAGGTGTGCACCATCAGGCCTGACTGGAATCTCCATCTCTGGACAGTTCAGTTTGGAGTGGCAAGAGGGTGAGGTGTAGACTCTGGACCTAGACAGACCTCAGGTTGAATCCTGCCCATGGCATTTCTCAGCTGTACTGCTTTGAGCAGATTACCTCTCTGTGCCTGTTTGCTTACTTGTACAATAGGGTTAACAATATGAAACTCCTGAGAACACTGGGAAAGATTGCTTGGGAACACACCTGAAAAGCACAGAGCGTAAGGCTTGCCATCTAGGAGTGTCCAGCCAGGACCAACATTGTCATCCCTCTTATAAACGCTGCTGGGACTCTTTAATAGTCCAGCTGTGCATCTTGGGACTCCAACGTGGTCCTTGTCCCCAGGGCTCAAAAGTCCAGAGGTCCAGGGGAGGATGAAGGAGAGTATAGCTCTGACAGGGTCTCCAGGAGATGTCTAGGGCAGGGAAGCGTCCAAAGCTAGGCGGGAAGGATGGGATCCTCAACCTTTGCATATGCCTTAGGATTCCCTTCTGGCAAACAGCTCAGAACTCTTGGAGAACTGCAAAGCCCAATATCTGCTTAGGGTCCCCCAAACTTTGGCAGCCTTTCTGTGTTCCGCTAACAGCTCTCTCCCTTTCATCTCCCCAGGGGACAGATTGTCCCTGGCACCAAAAGAGCACGAGCTGGGCAGGCAGACATATTCCTTTCCTACCAAGTGGGTAGAAACCGAAGGAGAAGACTCCTAGACCCCCTCCCTGTCTCCACACTGCAGGGTCAGCAGAAGGCCCCAGAGCTAGGGTTTAAGTTCAGCTCACTGTGTGAGCTCAGCTAAGCCATTACTCTTTCTCTTTTTTCCTGTTCTCTTTTTTCTTCATAAGATGTTTAATTAATTAATTTGTTCGTTTGGTTTTCAAGACAGGGTTTCGCCGTGTAGCCCTGACTGTCCTGGAACTCACTCTGTAGGTCAGGCTGGCTTCGAACGCACAGAGATCCAGCTGCCTCTGCTTCCCAAGTACTGGAATTAAAGACGTGCACCACCACCA